TTGAAGTGAATAATAAGTAACAACAACGAAAACATAAATATTTATATGGTTTATATAAACGGGATGCCAAACACAAGTCCGAGACAGGAATACAGATTGTGCAGGAAATTCAAATTTTTTTTAAGATAAGTGGCGATTATGCACTTATGATAACTTATTTTTCAACAATATTGAATTTGAAAAAAGTGACAACCTCTCTCATAAATATCTCTCATAAATATCTCTCTCACTTCTAAAAACAAGGTAATAGACAAGCAGATATGGGTTAGTATTTTTAGAATACAGAACTGATGAGTAAAGTATAGAGTCACACATTCATCCAGCGGTAAATTGTGACAGATTCCTGTAGCAGCGCGTTATATATCACTGACTGGTTTTAAGGAACCTTGTTCGGAATAAACGCCTGTAGAAGAAATGTCGTAATAAAAACGAACGGTAAGGAATATATCCCGCTTTATATTAATATGATTTGCGCTTTCCATTGGAATAAGGATATGAGCAAGTATATAAGGCCATTTCATTTATGCTGTGACAGCGAAGTACCACCCTCATTCTCGGTTAAAGAGACACTGAGTTTACTTTACTGATTCATGAGCTTCTTGCCAAACTGCAATTTTGTTCCTCATTTTTGGTTTGATCTCCTTGCCATTCTGTGGGTTGATAAAAAATGCAAATACTACCTAAATTTTACTACATATTCAACTTATCTCAGTACAGCGGATGAAGTGGTAAAATATTGACGTAACGTGCTTTGTAATATGGGCGTTCCGATTCGGCCTGAAAAACACAAAACAAAAAGTCATGCATCAGAAATTCCATTACCCACTTGTATCATTATTACTTTAAATGAATAGTCTGGACTTTTGCCAAAGTGTTATGACTTATATATTTTAGGTGCTGGGTAGGTGAGAAACGTACATGTGGTATAAGTATGGAACAAGTGTAGCAAAGTGTTAGCAAATGCGCTAAAGGGGTTTCGACACTGAACTAAAATATTGACGTATCGTGCTTTGTAGAGAACCCTTCCGGAACGGCTTTGACTGACGGCGATTCATGACTGGAAACGCGTGAAGACGGGCACGGCTATTCGGTGCAGTGTGAACATGAAACCTATATATTATTTTTAAAAGAAAATATCGAATGCCTAACTGAAAAAATATGATAAAGTTGCTCGTTGCTTTACGCTGAATAATATTTAGTAGATGTGAGCGCATTACTACGCTACAACTATATTTAAATGAATTAACTCAGAGGTTATCAGATATATATAAATAAATTTCGAGACGCATTCGAAAATATCTCTACACACGCTCTGATTGAGAATCACTAGATTAGTCCGTACCTGCTTGTGTGCAGCCATTTCTGAAACAAATATAAAAAATAATTAAAAATGGTGTTGTGTTGTATTAAATCGGTTAGCGTACAAATAGTATAAGTAAGTGTGGTTAGAAATTGCAAGATTTGTACTATAGCATTCCAAACAAACAGTTTTAAAACAAGCAGTTTGTTATAAATCGATTAAAAACAAAACCCTACATAGGAAAGGCAGATGGGCTTTTGAACTTGAAATAGCGATGGCGATAATATAGATTTACACATTCCTAATAAAGCGTATACATGTATCCTTATATCTTTTCAAGTATACATTCAAGCGTTGGCAGCTACAGAGCCGTGTATTTAGGTTCGCACGTAAATCCTTTCATAGCTCATAATGTATTGTCGTTAGAAAATATAGTGTGAAATAGCGCGCGTGATATCATCGCTTACGATTGTGAAAATCAGAAGTAGTGGAAACTAGTAAAATTTACTGAAGTAAGATAATCGGAAGGAAATAAAGTGAAGTATATTTTTAGATGAATTGTTGTCGCCTATCATGCTATATAACGAAAGTGATGAACCTGCGGCCCGCGATGTATTCTGGTGATTCAGTGTTTGTTTGACTTGAAGGCATAAATCATTAGGGTTTGTAAATAAAAAACTGGAGCGCCAGTATTATTTATATTACTGGCAACGCTATTTCCAATTAATTTTGTTTTGTTGGATCATCGATAATCCTTAACAATGGATCAAAATAACCATCGTTTAAGTATAGTACGCTGCCTTATCGCCAATCGCATAGGTATTAATGTAGGACGTAGGTGAAAAACAGTGAAATAACAAATTAGTAATTATCGAGTTGCGTTCGGGTTAGGAATGATTTTAATATTTGCATTTGACGCAATCTGCATTCCTAGCCCTCGCCCTAAAACCATAACTGAATTATTTTCAATTTTTTATTATTATTTATATCGATGGTGTTTCTTTATGGCGGGGGCTTTGTACAAAAGATCCCGAATTACTTTTCTGTATCAACATGAAGGTACCTAATTTTGTTTGCCTACTTTACATCGAGTTGTTTGAAAGGGCGGAAGCCTATGGGCAGAGGGTATACTAACTTGGTTTATATAGACAGTCCCCGAACTCGAAATAGAACTAAAATAGGGAAAATCGAACTAAAATTCTGGCTGACCCTAACCCTAACCTGGCACACATACTACGGGAGTACCAAATTTTGCATATTAACCCAACACAAAATGTCGTAAAGGAAGGTTCGATAAGACGCGGGTTGAAATACGTTTAAGGGCGCAGCCAAAATTACCAAAAGGATAGGAAAGGGGTGAATCGGATGGAATCTGGCAATTTTCTTGAAACTGTAGTCGCAATTAGGCAGCTCACTTTTCCGACAGATAATGTTTTTTCTGTTATGTTTTCGTGTAATAATTTTGCAGTTGCGTAAAGTATTCATTTGCCGACTAATACGAGTATATTTATAATGTCTTGCTTTATTAATTTAATTTTGTGCTTAATATAACCTGCGTCTTCGTCCACAAAATAATATTAACATTACTATGTAATAACACGTCTATCCACGGCTATGAAAAAGTGTTTTAAACTGCCCGAATATATTTAGTCTTAATTGTATTTTTGCGATGCTACGAATTATACAAATTTTAACTGTTCTTGTAACACTGGCTCCACTCTATCACGATGCTACTGTCCAAGATTATTTTAAGATATCACGGTTAGAAAAATCCATATATCTGTGATAAAATATCGAAAACTTCAATTTATTTTAGTACATAAAAGAAACTTGATTGTACAGGGATACTCCGATAGTCGACGAAATAAATTCGAGTCATAAATGCTGCGGTATTCAAACGGAAATTCGGATCTCGAACCGCGGCGAAGTGAGATGGCGTCACCCGAAACCGAACTTAATTGATAACGGTCAATACTGATAAACAAAAATCTTGTTATGCATTTGAGAATTTCAGTTCGTCTTGATATGAAGAGCTTAGTAAAGCAATAAAGTTTTCAAAAATCTCACTAAGCAAAAATGCATGGAATGTTCTATTTTTTTTTATGCTGCAATATATCATTAAATAACTTCAGCTTATAAATTCTGCTTATAACTTTATTAATTAAATAACTTTGTTTTTGTTGATGAAAATTAACAGGTATCATAGCATGAATAAAAATTTGCGCGGCCCGCTCACTCAGCGGTGACTGATAAAATAACCCACGATAGCAAATGGGTTAATCACCCTTTCTATATAACAATAAAGCAATAAAATGGTTTGGAATTGACTCCATTCCGGAAAAATGTCACAAAGATATTGTAATAATTGCTTTAAAACGTCCATTACATAAGGGCCTCACAATTAGCATAGCCTAGTAGAGAGTCTCATCGTATAAATCCGGCCCTGATTCGAGCCTACGTAGATTGCCGCCGTTCTATGTATTTTCCCCATTATTGTAATCGTATGCCGTATTTAGGCGGTGTGCTGGCCCCTGATTGCTGCTTCTCCATTGTAGTAGGCCCTTGATCTGCATTTCACGATTTGCCCTGCTTTCATTACTTGGTGTATGTACTAAATTAGCGATAAAGCTACGCAAAAAGAGTGAAAGTAAAATCAAAATTTTCTTACATTTTTTAAATTAAAATAATATTCCGGCAGCGTGTGCCGCTGCTACAACGCAACATTATGGCATAGTTTCACTGCGATGCAAGGGATATTGCAATAAAAAAATAAAAAGATACAAAAAAACTTGATTTAAAACTAGCTGTTTTGTTATATAAAAATAAAACCCTACATAAGACACGCAGATGGGCTTGTAAATTCAAATTAGCGAGGGCTCTAGTATACCATTACACTTTTCTCATGTAGCGTTCTACATCTTCGCTAAAAAATAATACCCATAACAAAAAGACGCCATGTTATTTTTTATACACAATAGCGCTCTACAAATAATCGGTACGGCGTATTGAAACATTGGTTGTACAGACCAGTGGTTGTCATCGGATAGTGCGGTCTTATTCCGGGATAAATTTGAAGGTCAAACAACTCGATTAGGGTATTCTCGATTAGGGTATGAATGCTGTATATAAGGAAGGCATCGTTGTCCTGTGCATCAAACCTTTTCTGGAACATAACCATTACTCGATATCCTGGTATCGATATCACACTAAAATCACAGTAAATTTACCAAATTTATTTAGCACAGACGATCGAGTAACAACCTCCTTTTCGAAATAGTTCATTCAAGCGTTGGCAGCTACAGAGTCGCGTAATTAGGTTCGCACGTAAATCCTTCCTTGACTCGTAATGTATTGTCGTTAGAAAATATAGTGTGGAATAGCGAGCGTGATATCGCTGCATACCATTGTGAAAATCATAAGTAGTGGAAAATAGTAAAATTTACTAAAGTAAATCACCAGGAAAGAAATACAGTGAGATATCATTCAAAATGGAGTGGCCTATTATGTCATATAACAAAAAAGTAAAAGAACGTCAAAGTTGAGTCTTAACGAACGTAACTTGCTTTTTTGGAATTGAATTCAATTCCACAAAAATCTTAAATATAATATAATCGACCAGTGTGGAGTCGCTTTAATAAGATTATCTAGTTATTTGCATTATATAGGTTCCGCGTTGAGAATAAAATATCACTTCAAGACGGAACCGTTACTTTTGGAACGCGCAAATCCGAATCTTCATTGAGTGTTGGGAATGAGTTTGAGGCGTTTTAATAAAATCCATTTCTACCTTACCTTCCCTATTGATACCGACACTCGGAATTGTTCTTTTTTTTTTCTATTTCGACGTAATACGTCGCACACTCGCGCCTTTTGCTACGTTGACAAGCTAAAACTGATTTCTTATCGTATCCTAATGAAGCTCTTTACAGACTCACTGATCTGTCAATGATATACAAGCTATATAACTGCACAAATACGTAAATCTCTGTTGGTTCGTTCGGAGTTTGGAAAAGCGATTTGATGCAATTAGGCCAGCGGTTCCCAAACTGTGTGCCACGTCATATTCATGTTCTATGAGAGGTTTAATCAAACCTATTTGCAAATGTAACCAAGAAAACTTGAGAAGTTTTGTGGAAAATCAAAAGAATGACGGAATCCCATTTGTTCCTGAACTTGCACTGGATTTTGCAAAACAGTTATTCACTGGAATACAATACATTCATGATAAACTTGTGGTGCAAAAAGACCTTAAGCCGGACAATGTGTTTTTATCCCGCGATCAGAAAGTCATTAAAATTGGTGATTTTGGCATAAGCGAAGTTATCGAGTCAAAGACTCAAACAGTTTACACCAGAAAAGGCCTCGGTACTGACGGTTACAGACCCCCTGAATCATTTGTACCTGGATTTCCAACTTTTTACAAAAAACTGACATTTATTCACTGGCTATCATTGTTTACTATGTTTGGAGTGATGGCGAACATCCCTTCGGCGATGAAAGAGACTTATGGAATCATTTCATGAAAAACCACAAAAACCTGAACCTGGATGGACTTTTAGTTCCAGATGCAGAAGTTGCAAAAGATTTACTGGAATGGATGCTGCAGCTTGTTCCTCGTAAACGTCCAATGATAAACGAGGTTCTTTCCCATAAGTATATGGCTCCACCGAATGTAAAAGGTAAGAACGATTTTAAAGAGTGTAAAATACTTTGTTATGTTAATTAATAGTTTGCTAACTGGATATGCTGGATAAAGAACATTGATCTATAGCTTATATGCAGATATTTCGAGGCTGTCAGTAGTAAGGTTATTTTCATAGGATTTCAGCATCTAATATATAGATATTGTAATTGTCGAAGGCCCACTAATAAAGTTTGACCGCTAACTAAAAGTAAAAACGTATTTATTTATTTTTTTTATCTCTGTTCAGGTTTACTATTCCGAGATATACAGGAAGAATCTGCACATTGCAGCTTACAAAGCTCTTTAACAATCATGCATGATGAACTTCTTCTTCCACATTTTGAAAATGGAACTTTCAAATCAGATTTTTCAACAAAAAAAGAAAACTGAAAGATTTGTATATTTATTTTGCAGTAACACATGTTTCCTATTTAGACACAATTCTATTATAATGCTTGTCCAGAGCATTGTTTGGAGGGAAGATAACCTTAAGATTCAGATTTTATTAGCTCTGTACCAAGCAAAACTCTTGTTTATTTCATGATGTGATGTGAACAGACATGTTTTGTAGTTGTTGTCTTACAGTTATCGTCATTTAGCAAATTTTGAAATTCCCGCGATTAATCAATTCAGAAGATTAATTCTCATTGTAGAACTACTTTTATGAATGAAGAAATACCGAATCCAAAACAAAGTTCAAAATAACATGTTCTCAAAATAGGAAATCTGATCACACTTATCTTAGATTGAGCAAGCTGCATTAAAATTTATTCTTGTGTAGCATGGTTATGGTGGCCCATCGTTGTCACGCGTAAAATTGAAAATTAAAATAAAAAATAAAATAAAAAACCGATAATAAAAAAATTTTTGTAAAAAAACATAAAAATAATTAAAAAAAAAATGAAAAAAAAAATTAAAATTAAAAATAAATAAATAAATAAAAACGAAAAAAAAAAAAAAAAAAAAAAAATTAAAAAAAAAAAATTAAAAAAAAAAAATTGAATAAAAAGAAAATAAAAAGGTTGACAACGATGGTCCGCCTCGTGGCCCATCGTTGTCACGCGTTTTTATTTTTAGAAAATTTGCTCCTGCTTGGGACCAACGTTGTCAGGCATAATCCTACGCGCACAAATGTGTTCCCTGGGTTTCAAACTCACTACTGATTTTCTTGAGCAATATTCAATATGAAAATGTTCTATAAATTCTCCATGCTACAAGTTCAACAAGAAGTAATATATTTATAATAATGATAAGAGAATATAGAATTGAATACGAAAATTCGGAAAATTTGTTTTTACGTGTATAAGGTAATTTAATTGGAGAATGCTGCTTAACTACTCAGTTGTCTGGACACTCGCGATGCCGGTACCGTACCGTCTTACCAAATACCGGTAGTCGGTTATAGTCGCTTTGCGTCTGACCGTACCGGTAGCCATACAATCACTCATCATCTCCCATTCTTTCACGAGTGATTGCATGGGTACGGTACGGTCAGACGATACCGTACCGGCATCGCACGAGTGTCTGAGCAGTTAAGCAGCATTTTCCAATTAAATTACCTTCTACACGTAAAAACAAATTTTCGTATCCAATTCTATATTCTCTTATCCTTATTATAAATATATTGCTTGTGGTTGAACTTGTAGCATGGAGAATTTGTAGAACATTTTCATGTTGAATTTATTGGATATTGGTCATGAAAATCAGTAGTGAGTTAGAAACCCAGGAAACACATTTGTGCGTGTAGGATTAAGTCTGACAACGTTGGTCCCAAGCAGCATCAAATTTTCTAAAAATAAAAACGCGTGACAACGATGGGCCACGAGGCGGACCATCGTTGTCAACCTATTTATTTTCTTTTTATCCAATTTTTTTTTCAAATTTTTTTTTTTTTTTTAATTTTTTTTTTAATTTTAATTTTTTTTTAATTTTTTGTTTGTTTTATTTTTCAATTTTTTTTTAATTTAAATTTTTTTTTATTTTTTTTTTTTCAATTATTTTCATGTTTTTTCACAACTATTTTTTTATTTTCGCTTTTTCATTTTATTTTTTCATTTTTTTTTTAAATTTTACACGTGACAACGATGGGCCACCATACATGGTTGTTAGCATTCAAGGATTAGTGATAAATGAATAGAATAATATTATTAGCTGTGACACTCAAATAACGTTTCGTACTAAAACTAATCAATCATCCTTTCAGTCTTTCTTCACAAGTTGCAATTTCATCATTAAAGCTTGTTAATAATTTCCACTTTCTAAAATGTCTTGAAGCAGAAAAAGAAATCAGTAATGCAGCTTTGACCTCGAAATGTGAGATATATTGATTTCATCATTCCTTGCATTCTTATTCTTTAATTATTTAAAACACAATAACAAACATGTGTCATTTTATCGGTAATTGCATTAATTCAACTCAGGAATTCACTTTTTGCTTGTCCAAACATCCCTGAATTCAGTGAATAAATTGATCTTGTGATCATAAATGTTCGTTTACCTTTAAAACTAAGTCTGTGCTAAAATTGATTCTGTCATTGATAGTTTTCCTCAACATGGTTAAATTCTGGTTTCAGATCCATCGATCCGGTCCCAGACATGTTGCTTACACTGAATATGAATACTTGATATAACTTTGCATTTTAAATGTGCGACTGGAAGCGTTTTAAATTTTTAAACATAACCATGTTTTAATTGGATAATATAACCCACAGTGTTAATATCTATTGTTTTGTAAATCATTAAATTGTTCTTCATTTCAGATGGAGTTTTTTATTTAACTTTCCATTTTTTTTAAATGAGATATTTTCAGATCGCCAGCATTTAACTGATGACATCTGGTGGTTTACAGACAAATTGATTGATGACAATTTTCATTTCAAAGTTTATGAAGGCCAACTGAAACTTTCTAATTCAGTTGCAAAACCTTTAGAAATATGGGTGTTTTCCAACTGGAATGAAGACTTACTTCACAAAACGAAAGTTCTTCAGCAACATCCACATCCAAATGTACTCTCTGTCTTTGCTAGTGGTTTGTTAAAAGAAAGAAATAAACATTTTGTTGTCACTGAAAGATGCCAGTTTCTAACTCTTGAGACATATTACGAAGAGAGGAAACAAAATAAATTTCCTTTTGATCCTAGACTTGCTCTCGTACAAGCAAAACAGTTAGTTAGTGGTCTACAACATTTGCATAAACATAATATTGCTCATGGAACATGGAAGTGGTGTATTCAGTTTTCACTTGACATGCAAAACGTGAAAATTAGTCTTTATAACGTTAGCATGTTTTCCTCCGTATCTTTTCCAAAAGTTAGCACTGAAAGTGATATAAATATGCTGGGTAATATCTTGTATAGATTATGGTCTAACAACCTTAACACATATAGGTCATTTAAATATGTTACGCAAGATAATGATCGTGGTGATTTACTGATTCCCAATCCTCACTTAGCCAGTGATTTGCTTAAAAAAATGACTCACGATGATAAAAATCGTCGACCAACAATTCAGCAGGTTGTTGATCATGAATTCTGGAAAAGTATCAACGTTTAGTTTCTCATTTGTTTAGTCTCGTACATGTTTGTAGATTCTAGTTACCAGGAAATGATATATTTCAACTTGTTCAAAGAATTTTAAAATATTTGAATATAGTCGTTTGTGAACTTTATTTAATTCAATTCTATACTATTTCTTGTAGTAGCTAATGATAAAAATGTAAATGTCAATTGAAGTAATTTATAAGCAACAACATTGAACACTAAACTATTTATATGGTTCATATAAACGAGCATGCCAAAAACAGGTTGGAGTAAGGAATACAGATTGCGCTGGAGATTCAATTTTTCGTTAGGGTAATTTAGGATGCTACACTTGTGATAACTTATTACTCCGACAAAATTAATTCGAGAAAAAAGTGCGGCCTCTCTCATAAATGTCATTACATCACCTCTAAGTACTAGATGAGAGACAAGTAGATATGGGTTTATTATGTTGTAATTACAGAACAGATGAAAGAAGTATGGAACCACACATCTAGCGGTAAATTGTGACAGATTCCGTTTTCTTCATATAAAGTAGCGCGTTATATATCACTGGCTGCTTTTACAGAGCCTTGGTCGAAGTAAACGCGTGTGGAACAAATGACTTAAAGTAAAAAATGAAGGATGAAGAATAGTCTTTTATTTATTTAGTTATGTGTTTTAGTTTCTCATCCCAAACAAGGTTATAGACAAGTCCATGCGCTATTTAATCTAAATTAAAAAACAGCGAAGTATGGCCACACGCCTAAAACTATATACTGATTATTTTCTTTTACACGCTTTTTCCTGAAGTGTTTAATCTTTTCGCTCAGCACTAAACCTTAGTCAAGAAGTGAGGTTTAATAATTTGATTATACCCCATATTCGTAATGCAGTACCACACTGACAAGAGATGGCATGATATGCATAATCAAAATGCTTTCATAAATGTTTGCACTTTTCCTCAGAACAAGAAACAATGTTTAATTTGTCATTTCTGGCTTTAAGCTGAGTTGATAGTGGTTAAAATCGTTTATGAGAGACGATTGTTTGCTGGTGGTGGATGGAATTCCTATGTAGTACTGAACATCTGATTTTAATCCATCTTGGGAAATCTCACATAGCATGTTTTTGTTCACAATACCCAAACACAACTTTACAAACGATCAGTATGAGGCGTTACGGTTTCGCATGAAATAAAAAAAAGTACCCTATGAGAAGTCATTGTAAAAATATCGTCTCAAAATGTTTCGGCTTTTTGACCAGAAACGCGTGACGATGGTCTTTGCTGTTTGTAACTGTGCGAACATGAAACCTATAATACATGTGTGTACAAACTGCGTCCCGAGAGTCAAATATGGACCGCAAAGAAAAATTGTGCGGCCGCGGAGAAGTGCAAGTTTTGAATGATGTGCCCGCGAAACAAGATTTTAGTTTAGATAATTTGGTACGTGCGAATAATTTTAATCCCTTTGCCTTGCAAAGTCTATACAAGTACCTGAGTGCCACTGTCATATAAGCGAAACTAGGTAGCAAAATCCAGTTGCATATTACACAATGTTATAAGGACGTGGTTCTCACCAAATTAGTTTAAAGTCGGTGTGACAATAAATTTGAATAGAAGTTTTATTTTATGCGTTTCAACTCACCATTTTATATTTTCATCAACCATACATAACTCAACTACTATTAATTTTGTGGTTTATTTAAACCTATTAGTATGAAGTGATAGAAGTTAAGTTGAAGACACACGAAATAGGTATTGTTAATCTTAGTTGTGCATAAAATACTGATAGTTAGTTTGCATACAAGCAAGACAAAATATGATTGTTTGATTAAAGAACGAAAATAATGGAAAAAATTTGAATCTTTTGACTCTTAAAGAACTATGCATTACTATTTAGATGTAGTTTAATTGCAGGAATATTCTACAAAATTGATTATTTTTTAATAAAAAAAACAGCAAAATGGCTTGGACATTTATCATAATTATTGAATAGTGGAAGATGTGAACAAAGGATCGTTTTATCATGTGCATTATGAAAACACGGACAAGTAAAATTTCCATTTGGGATTAGCTATATTTCTATTCAATATTATTGACTTTGTTACTGTATATTCTATAATTTGGCAGGTTCATTCATGTTGGAGAATATGCTATTACGATATATGAAATAATTTCTTAATTTCCACTAGAAATAAATTAGTTGTCATAATTCATATTATAGTTGGAGTAAATTTATAAAAAAAGGTTATGTTTGAAATTTCTATCGCTTGTAGATTAGTATTATAGCTGTATTCAGACCGCCATTCTTTTGCTTGTTACGCCTGAAAAAAATTAAAAATGTCAAATATGGTATAATATTTAATATATATTTTGTATAAATTGAGCCATAAAAAACCTAAAAACCCTTTCCTCCTAAACGCTTGCAAAAGAACTATAAAAACAAATAGGAGAGGTGACGATTGTAATAAAGTAGCATCAAAACAAATTGAGTGCTAAAATAAAGACTATATTCAGGGGGAAAATGATATATAACACATAGTTTTCATACAAACTGCTTTTATAGCTGCGATCAAAATTTGAGATGTAAGAGAAATTTTCAAAATATGCTTTCTAATGAGATACTCACAACTGCTTATTGTGTCTGAGGCTTTCTGCTGGATCCACCTGGCATTTCTGTTGACTCTTCGTACTTTCAAATGTTGGATTTTGTTTTCCACGTCTGGATACTCTATGTTTTCCAAAATAAGACCGCCTGGTTAAAAAAAATTGTAGGTAAAACACTAAAAACACTAAAAACACTAAAAACACTAAAAACACTAAAAACACTAAAAACACTAAAAACACTAAAAACACTAAAAACACTAAAAACACTAAAAACACTAAAAACACTAAAAACACTAAAAACACTAAAAAACACTATCCATATGAATAAGACTTCAAAAGACACTCGTCTACAAACTACTTTTTTACAAACTTTTTCATTTTATACTAACAAAAGAAAATTCAAAAAGATAATTTAACGCAAATAACTTTCTTGATTTGCAAATAAACGATTGGATCAATCTATCTATGGCGTGCTAAGATAGTCTGTTTAATATTACCTTATGGTACGACAATAATGTTATTGATATCAATGTGATTACCTTCTTTCCCCGCAATATACAATAATAAGAATGATGATAATGAGTAATGAGATGGAGATAAGCACAATCGCAGCTATTTCACCTGCTCCACGTGCTGAAAAAAAAAGGGGTAAAACGCTAAATAACATTTATTTTAAAACCTAGCTTAAGGTTAGTTTCTTTGCATTCTATTTTGTAACCCACATCTCATATCAAGGGTTCTCCAAATTTCATTCTATCGTTTTCCAATTTCCAAATTTCCAAAAGCAAAATTGAATTTATCAACGATGATGTAAAATTGTAAACTGCCGTTCACGTACCGTAAAGAAAATATGAACAAATGTTGATGATCTGGACAGTCTCTCCATAGTAAGATGAAGTATCGTTAGCTAATGCACAGCCACTATATGTGCTACGGATAAATGTGTTAACATATTTTCTTGTTGTAAAATTTACCCCAATCCAGCTCTGCTGGATAAATTCATTTTCAGTATAGAATCTCTGGCTCTAATGATATACGAATGTTTCAGATTTAAAGTTTCAGATCGAGTTTATATAGCAGACTTGTTTTTCAGCAATAAATGTTTGAAGACAATGAACGTACAGGTTCTCAACCAAGCTTGGCAAGTCCATATAGCCCACGAAAAAATCCATATAGTTCACACAGTGTATATTTACTTACATGGAGGCTCAGAATCAGTTTTTACAATTACACTCGGTTTAGTACAAACTGAATTGTTTTCTTCATTCGCACCACATACTCGTATAGTGTAAGCTGTGTCTGGTTTCAATGGTCCATTACATTCTGTATTCGTACCCGTTTGGCAAGTATTGTCAGCACCTTTATGCAAGGAAATATGTTTGAAGGTGGGTATGTATCAAAGTATGGGTATAAATCGAAATATTCAGTAAAAGAGTTAAAGTACATTTGCGGTAACCAAAAAACGTTCCTGAAAAAACAGAAATAGGATATGCTAAAATTATCTGTCAATAATTTTTCACGGCAACCGCCTGAGTATTTTGAAATATATTGGGCTTTTGCAATGTATATTCATTTACACGCTCTCGCTGAAACCTTTTTAAAATAAACATAAAAAATCTAGCATTGGCATTGGCTGGAAAGTATATGAAAAAATTTTATGGGGTCAAGGGCCAAGGTAACATCCACCACTGAAAACATTATTTTTTTTTTATAAAATTTTCAGTTACAATAATGAACTTGAACTTACCAATAACTACACCATTGTTGACAACAGCACGCCTTTTTCGATTACTGTTATTTTCGCATGGAACGGTAAGGGTAACATAAGGGGAAGAAACATCTTCTTGGGAAGAAGTTGCCCAAAATCTTGATAAATCAATGCTGACTGAAATATTAATGGCCAAGATTAATCTTTCAACATGTTGTTTATAGTAATTCATGAAAATTTTTTATTTTGAAACAAAGTGAACAACAGACTATGAATCACTTTGCTAGAGTGTTCTTGCAGCGATCAAAATCGCAGATCTTTTAACATACATCATTGGGCAAATTTAAATTTAATCGACCCGATTTTGGTCTACTTATACTCAACAAACAACTTTGGTTTTAAGTATTTTTGTATCGCAGATTAAAATGGGTGAAAATCACATAAACACTAACTTACCCAATAAAATGGGTAAGAAATGCTGAACTAGAAAATCTGGTCATTCCAAGAAAAAAATACTAGCTTCTGAATCAGACATATCAATGGCTTTTATAAACAGCTTTATTTGTAGAAAAAAGCATAAAATAAACATATATATTTATGAATATCATTTGAGTTTTAAAAGTAGGTATAATTCCATTTACCTGTTGATCCATCTTGAGTAACTATATAAATCATTTTTGTGATTACTCCAGTATCTTCATTGAATACAACATGCTTTTCTTCACATACGTTGTTAACTGTGACAGTGTAATAGGGAGGGTACGTCTCTGTATCGCTCGTATTTGTAAAAGATATTCTGTAGTTTTGATCTCTGAGAGTAGGAGCTTGAAAGTGTGAAAAAGTACAATGCGTGGGTACATTTATTTGATCATGTATCTGACAGGTTCCACATTTGGATATTTGATCTGGCATGAAGTTTTTACATTGCAAAGTCTACAATGGAGGTATATATAAATAATTCGGATTTTCTGGCATCTTTAACTCAATGTCATTGACTGCTTCTATAGGATATGATTGGTTTAAAATCATTCCTCTCGGGCAGTCTTGATTTTGTAAACAGATGCAAAACAGCAGTCGTTTTAACATCTACAATGGCATTTGGCTTCATGTCAGTCACATTTGTATTACATTCAAAAGGTACACACAAAATGGGTGGGTTGGATTATTTTATAGAACAGAAAATAAACATTGTAACAACGCTATCCGAAGAAAATAAACTTACTTCCTGCCCTTGTTTGCTGTGATAAGGTAGATCCCGAACTCGTTCCAGCTGCGGAGACAGCAAATACAGATATTCTGCAAATATAGAGAAGAAATAAATTATTGAATGTTGGAAAGGTGTTGACACAAAATACGAGCAAATAGCTCCGAGGAAGAGATTCTACAGACTAGCGGGTCTAGGTGGAAATTTCGGTATAAAATTTCCTTGTGAAGTTAAAAAGGAGAATTGCGGCAAATCAAACAAGTGAATTGAACAAATATCTTCTATTTGAAGAAGTGAGAGCAGCGAATTCAATTATAAATGGAATACCAACGTTATGATGTAAAGGGAGAATTGTAATACCGCTCGGTCCAATCATATTTGCTATTGTTTTTGTGATCCGTATGACAAGTTGAAATATAGAGTGACAAAAAAGAACAACTCAGGTTATTTGGACATAATCGTGAGAGAACATGACTTTTGTGTAAAGCACGCAAAGACTACTTAAAGCTTGGCTACAGTGTCATATAAATTTTCTTCTTTTGTAGATGCATTTAGGAAATTTATGAGTTTTAATTCCCCTTGTATAAAAAATTCCATCAGTCAAAATAAGACAAAAATGATTATAAATAGTCAATAGTAACAAGTGTTAGTGTAAGTGTATCTTTAGATCGGTAAGGATGTTGATAGGTATTTGTCTGTTTGTCTGTCTGTCTGTTAGATTCACGCGATATCTCACGAAGGCGTGATTGAATTTTGCATGTGCATTCATCATATCCCGGACCAGAAGCCTATTGATTTTGGATGAATTATGCGTATTAGCGAGTTATTAATTAATTAGTGATTTGACACGCGGTGTCACTATAGAGTCATGAATCGAAACTGCAGTTTCGATCTGCAGTTTCGATCGATAAGTCTTCGGTCTCCGACCGATATTCTCGGTTATTATCGGTTATTCTGCAGTTTCGATCGATAAGTCTTCGGTCTTCGACCGATATTCTCGGTTATAGCTTCATAACATAGGCCATAAAACTTAACATACCTGTATGTTGTATATGCTGTGAGTTCACTCAGAACTACAGTTGTGTCAGTAGACGTTGCAGTCTGAGCGGTGCAGTTGGGACAATTGGCCTGAAATGTATGAGCATATATTAATATTTATATTCTGAGATGAGGCTTTTAAATAATAACTGTGGCATCAACTTCAAATGTTCGAAAATAAAAAATAACAAGCTAATTTATGGTGTAAAATTTCTGCTTTAAAAGCTTATAATCATTGACATCAGGTAATATTTATAGCATCAACAGATAAAGATGCTTCTACACTTGTCAGTTTGAGTTTGAATTTGAACAACTGCAACAAAATTTTGATGATTGTAGTATTTTTGAAAAATTCAAAAGTAGAGTATAATACTTTTTTGCAATATATAAAAAGAGTTGATTTCGTATTCGCTTTTTGCATCTTCAACCAATTTTGAAATCAAAGTATTACCGTCAAAGTATTTGCAATTACTGGGTAATTGGACGTGAATTCAATAGCAAGCTACAATTGGCCAGTACAATGCACGAAGCTTGCACATAACGTATATTGTAAGAAACAGTCATATTACCTGTATATATGAAACCAAGTAAGATGTTGCTCCATCTACAGCTTGTATTGCCAGTGTAAGCTGAACATCACTATCACGTGCGACGGTGAATAACGGACTTGAAGGTACTGTAAGACAAATATATCAACTTCTAAAATTTCGTAATTTTAAATCGTATCTACTAGAATATTTTATTTGATATTTTATGGAGGCTTCTTTAAACGGCGCCTTGGCATCAGCGTCATTCTAGGCAACTATGGTTTGAGCTAGAGGTGAAAAATTTTAAATGCTATGATTTATCGACGTAAGGTGTCGGTAGATTCATTACTCTACGGGTGTTAAGTGCTTGAAATTACATTTAAATCAGTATCTACTGACAATATTGCTAAGAAATACACAAGTAGCTAATTGATGTGTCAATGATCCGTGATTAAACTGCACACTCTTCACCTGATGTCCTGATCCACGTATGATATTTTCAATATGCGATACTGAGACAAAAAGATTTGCGTTCTCCGAAACACATATTACATCTTGTATGTATGTACAGCTAGTCTTGTTGTCCTGATACTAGTTTTGAGGAAAATGGGTAACAGTTTGTATAAAATATCATACATGTTCACGTAAATTTCATACCTGATGTAACGGTTGTTCCTGGTGGTAATAGATATGGACCAACTCGGTCAACATTTGATGTAATAGTAAGAGCATAAACAGTATTGTCCTCAACACCTGGAACCGTTATAGATATCGACGTCGATACAGATGCTTGAACCTGGAATAACGGTTTTTATTTAAATTTAATGTTTCTGCATTTATCGAATGTAGACATATCAGTACTTTCCAATCTGGGGCTCGTGGAGAAGTTAGTGGGGTGGCCACAATGCTAGGCGCAAAACTGATTTTATTTTTCCCTCAACTCCTTTTCCTACTAAAAAAAACGTTCTTCCTAGTTTCATTGCTCGATAAGGTTATTTCACCGAGTATTTTCACTCTGTTGAGCATTATCATAATGGGATTCGGAACCTATCAATCAAAATAACACTATAAATACTAATGGAATCATAAACAGCGGGTTCATGAGTGTAGATTATAAGCGACTTAGTACTTATGATGAGGCTCTACAAGAAGCCTATAACGTGTTGGGAGGTGACACTTCGCGCTATTAACTTTCTTTTATGTAAAACCTGCCTGGTTTCTCGATGTTAACAACTCCACAACTTGAATGTGATTGAGATCTATTGCAGTCACGTGAAATACGAAATTGTGTGGTGATAAAAAAACAAATGATTCCAGTATTATAGAATGTAGAAGTCCGAATAAATTGATATAGCAATGTTGAGGTCCAATAATCAATTGATTACAACAGTATTGAGGGTTGCTAAAGTTTACGACCAAACCAACAGGCAGGTTAATAACATACTTAAACAGCTAACTCTTAACACGAAATAAACGGTAAACAGCCGACTGGCAATTATTCGAAATATTAAACAAACAAAAACGAGAGAAAAAGAACAGACTTTGTTTACGCTGACATGCTCATTCCTGCCAACGAACAGATGGTGAAATCGCCTTGAAGGGAGTAATTTCCTGAACGGTCATTCGACAAAGTGCAATGACCGATATATCTCGAGATAACCCCAGGTCAAATATATATCAAATAAAACAAAGAAACTTTGTCTGTAACAATGAGTACTAAATTATGCCGGAAAGGGGCCAAGAGCCATCAATTTTGCCAGTTTTCTTCAAGCCATATATATCAATTTATTTTTTAAATTTCTATTTAATAATACTTTGCAGATAGTATCCAACTCTGTTTTTCTCATTATTTGTGAACATTCCTATTCGTCGCTAAGTATACAGCAAATAAAAAAACACGACATCAAGTCTAACTTCCAAAACACTATGGTTGTATGTCTTTTTAGTTTTCGTTTGAGATTCCGACTTTGAACTTCTAACATTAGTTTGGTATACAATATTTGAATCGAAAAAACGCACAACATCATTTAAATCATTTGCGTATTTAAATATTATATAAATGCGCGTACTAACCGACGAAGTGATGCTGGTTCCATCTGGCGCAGTCAAGACTACTCCATAAGCTGTGGGTCCAGTAATCGGGGTTCCGGCGTTGAAGGTCACAACAATTTCTCCAGGTAGTGATACAGTCAATACATTAAAGATAGGGTTTGGAGCTGTAAAAAAGTATATGTTAATTAAACATAAAATGTTATTGTAATAGACATTTAGAGAATATATATACTTCAAAATTGATCAGCTTGTCAATTGTTTTATTCAGTATACTTACGTCCAGTGGCTGTATTAAACGTCAAATTCGAGGATGATTCACCTCTTCCACCGAGAGATACGGCGACCACAGAAACGACGTATTTTCTATGTTAAAAAAATGAATGATGAATAATGAAGAAGAAATCATGAAGGTTATTTATGGTTTGTTTAAAAATAGAAATAAGACAAAAGACTACACTGGCAGAAGCATTATCTCAAAAAGCTCAATCGTTTGTTGTCACACTGTGCTTTTTGCCATTCAAAAATCAATCATCAAAATCAACAACTTCAATTTTATGTTTTCCTGAATATTACAACACGAAATATATCAGATTTTTTTTTTATCATCAAATATCGTAAAAAATAATATTGTACATAATAAAAAACTTTACCTGTAGGCTTGGAGGCCAGTTAATGTGTATCTGTTGTCAGCTGTAGCTGCAAATGTTTGCTGGTCGTTCTCATTGCAACTTGCGTCATTAAATGAATTGCAGTCATCGATTTCTTGACTGAAAAGAGATGTAGAATATGTTGCACATAGTGATATATATAACGGGAGTAATTGATATAGAAATAAACCTAATGTATATAATGTCATACAAACAAAGTGTGACCCTATAACACAGTGTTTTGTGTGGGTAGCAGGGACCTTGGAATTAGGAATGTTTTTCATTGTTTCAGACCTGAAGTCGTATTTTATTACCCTGTGTCGAAGCTGGAGAAGAAATTTTTGAGTAGCGAGTCAGAGTTGTTATTTCTGAGTTAGGAATTTAACCGCTGTTTCTATTGTTAAATTATTGCTAATTGAAGTCGAAATATGCAACCAGCTTAATGAATATTTTTAATTTGTAAAATAGAATTTTTTTTTCTCTGCCTCAAGTAAAAATAACGATTACATCACATGTTAGATGTTGACATTTTGAATAATACCTCAAATTATAAGGTTTCTACCTTAGCTCTTAATTAAGGACAATAAATGATTGCAATAAAAAACAAATAATATGTTACCTCACTGTTATAATATATTGGGTGACAGCAATTTGAGTATTGTTCGGAGGTGTGATTTTTGCAACTGCTGTTGAACTGGTGATACTACTTATTGCGACGTCTTGAGGCACTTCAGGAACTGAGTAGAAAATGAATAAAGTCAATGAATAAATAAATTCGTGACTTGGTCATACAAAAGGTTTCATTCGATAGACAAGAAATTTCTTGTGATACTGTACTATCTAATATATTGAAGACTTACCTAATTTTGGTGTGGTAACTGTGACTTGGTCTACTGGACCTTCACCAGCGCTTGTGAATGCCGTCACACTGATGACATAATCAGTAAGAGACTGTGTTGCTGTGATTGGAAATGTCGTCACGGTTGTGTCACTACCACCAGACTCAGATCTGGCAGTCCATTTTACACTGAATAACATAGAAAGTTTCATTATACGAAGTTTGCAGACCGTGATCTCACTCAGAGTGTATTTAAATTAGATTGGTAATGTCAAAATAACAAAGAATTTCGTCATCCTGTCAAAATTAGTATTTATTTATTTTGAAGTGGTTGTACGACAAAGACTTGTTTTGAAGGAAAAGCATGTAAAATGCAGTATAAAATTGAAGATGAACGTATTCCAAGATTGAATAGCTTTGTGAGAAATGTTATTAGGTATTGCGATGAGCAGTACACATGTCATAGATCATCATCATACGATGAAAACTAAACCAAAGTCAAATACTGATTGATGTCAAGAATCAAGGTGATGATGGATGGAAGCTCCACATAACATTGCAAAAAATCTGTGTACAATTGAAAGCTCAAATATATTATTTCAGTTTTCTCACTTGTATTTTGTGATATCTCCTTTAGTAGGTTGTGGTATTTCCCATGCTACTGTTACTGTATAATTTGAAGTTTCAAAAGAAGCTGTCAAATTTCTAACAGCAGTTGGTTTGTCTTCTGCAGTTCGGATAACTAATGCATCAGTTGCCGCAGCGCTACCGACATTTGTTGTTTCTACCACCTGCAAATTTTGATAGTAACCACCTAATGATTGAGCTATTTATTTGTCATTTAAATAGGTTTGAATGATTCTTTAGAATTTTTCACTTCAGCTTAAAAGAGTTCCTACGGAATTATTATCCTGGTCTTCAAACAGAATAATATATTACACCCAGGATTTTTTTTATATTCAACTCAGAGAAAAGCCAATAAAACGGATTAATCATATAAGGAACCACGGCCTCTCGTTCGATTATCAGTTCATATCAGGTATAGGATTAATTTGGCAGTTATTTGTTTCACATGCGTCGGATTGATGGTAAAGGAACTCGTAAACGACCAGCAGTCACATAAATCACCCTACGGCGGGTTATTCGACTATCTATAAAGCACAATATAAAAAATGTTTTTCTATCCTATGTTTACCTATGCGGATGGTTCATATGAAAAATAATACCGTTATGGTGTATTCTGTGTTTGGTGTCAATCCAGTAAGGGTCAATGATGATGTTGCTATATCTACTGATTTAGACGTGGTGCCATCTGTGTATGTGACTTCATATGTTGTTTGTTCAACAGCTGGGGTTTGAACAGGCCATGATATTTCAATACTGGTTGGAGTAACAGCACCTTTTGTCACTGGATTTGGTACATTCGGAACTAAAAAGTATTATCATAAAATTATTGAAACTGAGTTGTACCTCTGTAACTCCTAAAAACAGGCAGGAAATCTATGAATAAAAGCAAATAGAGATTTTCAAACGTAGGCGTTGACGCTGAGAGGTAAACGGACGACTTGCAAGTCTGAGACAGCCAACAAGTTAGCAATATCCGTGACATCTCATTTATTTGCTATTGTTGTACCGGTTTTGGTCACAGTATTTCTGCCGGGTTTCTGCCCAGTTATATATGTCAGAATTAAGTTTGAGGTTTTATCAATTTATTTCACCGTTTTTTCCGACGCTTGAGTTAATGAACTGTTTCGCCTTTATCAACGTACAAAAAAATAAACGTTGATTTTGTAAGTTACCAATTTGAAAAAATAAAGTTATGATGCATGCATAGAACAAAAACATATTCACATTTCCATCAGCTTTTCACGGGAACAATTTGAATAAAACAAGGATTGGTATGTTAAATATCCCCAAATGAGTGTTTACGCATGAAGGGAGCCAAAGAGGACTCACTATACCAAGCGGTATAGGTATAAAAAGATGTTTTCCATGTATATTCAATACGTTATATCTCCTATCGAAAGCTTATCAAAATGGGATTCGAAATATTACGTCGCTCAGACCATATGGCAAACTCCACATTTCATAAGACTGAAAACTTACCCACTGCAGTATAATCTACAATTTGTCCCTTTGATATCCGTACTACAAAGCACAGACAAAAAACAATTTTCCACATTTTGGTTTCCAGTTTTTCTAACTATTTAGTATAACAGAATCTTATGATTTAGCTAGGTACAATAGAAAACAATGTTAATCAAAAAGCATGAAGCAAGCAATTGTTAGGGATCCAATGGAAAATTGTTTTAAATATTTTCACAATATAGGTTATAAGCATTTAAGTTGCACAGACCAGCATTTGGACGTTGAACAAAGCCTACAGCATTATAAGTCACTTTATAACGTTACGTTGCTAAATTGTAGCTTCGTCCAAAAATCAAAAAATGAATTAATTCAGATTATTTTATTAAGTAAAAACCTTAAACTAATATTGACTTTTGAGGATGTCCAACATGGATAACGACATGCAATCCTGATTTTAGTTTTATTTGTAATATTTGGCCTGATTTAACCTGACCTTACCCCAAATCACACACAGTATTAGTTTCTGTGAAATAGTTTCCAAAAGAGACCCTTCCTGTACATTAGGTTCCCTATGGGCTACGCCCAATACGTATTATCCTCGAGACTGAACGAGTGCATGTTTTCAGATTATCCATGTGTTCATGCGTTGAAACCCCGTCCTAGGACGGCTTCGTTATACCTGGTAGATCGCCGAAGAAGAGATTTTCGGAGCAATGAAGCAAGCCAAAAAGAAAAACTATTTTGAATACCAGTTTTCCAAAGTATAAGATAATCTATTTCGAATAAGGGGATCTATTTTGAATTTCGATAGAAAATACAACATGCTCACAATTGTTCTCAGCATGATCTTCGCAATATATATTTCATCGGTCGCAATCGAAAGTCAAATTATTTGGGAGCAATGTTTGATTTAATTGGTAAAATTATACAAAATCAAATTTTGGTCTATTAGTCTTAAAATAAAAAAATTTTATTTTTTTTTAATTTTAGATAATATTGTTTGTCTTTGTTATCCCGAAATATCAAAAAGGACCAAAATTGACGACAAATGTGGAGATGGATTCAAATTAAAAATTCATCATATTATACCTATATAGAAAAAGATTGACAATTGTTTGATATAATCACTCCACCGGAAATTCCTTTTCTGCATTCGCATTGATCGTCCAAATTGAATTACAACGAATATGTTATTTTGAAATTTTCTTACGATACTACAGTATCGGTGTGTATTATGTGATATAGAAAGTAAACGTGTTCTTCTATTTTATAAACATTTAAATAATATTAACTTTTTAATGAGAAGTAATGTACCAGAAAGAAAGTCGTACCAGAATTGGTTTTCCCAATTCGCGATCAATTTTGAAAGTATTTTTCAAAGCCACAAGTTTAAAATTTATTCATGTCCAACCAAGCGTTGTTTCGATTTTGATTTAGCAAAGCTTGATATATCATTTGGTTTATATAAATCTTTTATTATCCTGTACATAGCCACGACTGTGTCGCGTTATGCTTTGCAAAAATGAAATAATATTCATTATGTATACTGAGTTAAGAGTGCTTTCACAAAACTTGCTGTCAAAATATTTAAAATTATGTTGGTGATGCAAAGTTTCAAGTTTCACTCCCCTCTCACTTATGTGTACAAAAACATAAAGCTTGGCCTGCCTTTATTTTTTGGGATTTGTTTGGGCCCATGAAAGTACTGTTTCCTCAACATTTGTCCCCAAACCTTCACGATAACTTTCAATTGCAATAATGTTCCTTGCTTTTCTAAAGAAGTTTTCTTAGAGTCAGGTCACGAGAACTTACTCGAAAATGAGAGAGAATGGTTTCTGAGTGTAGCTACTAAGACGACTAAAATGCCAAAAGCTACGGACACTATAAGTTGTGAATTCTGAAATTCTTGGAAACTTTGGGCATAAATTTTTTTGTTTACATTGATTTGATTTACATTGACTGTAGTAGGATGAGGGTTCACAGCCAACCGAATTTGGCGGATAAAATCAGGATATTTTGCTAATTTTGATTTTACCTATATAGCTTTTGGAAACGGGTTGTCTGAGTAAACTAATAATTATACGATAATTAAGAATGTAACAAGGTTAAAAATAACTAAAAACTCACCAATAGGAAAAACATAAAAATACAAATACAATTAATGTTCACATATCACGGTGGCAAATATTGATGAATGAAACAAGTGACTGGCCACCTAATATTCTATTGTTGCGTCACCATTATTGCTGCTAAGCCTTTGCTGAAAAACACAATTGAATAGACGCTTGAAGAACTGTTCATACTAAATTCCAGATTTTAGAGGGTTTGGATCCGTTTACACACTCGCGATTTCAACTTGTTTTAATTTGTCTTGTAGCAAATGTGCTTCATACAACACCAAAGCACATTCGAAAATGTATCTTAAAGGAACGCTAATTTGTAATAGCCACATTCGTGAAACTCTTTTAGAACCGTGATGTGAGAAATTGGTATTTAACGTTAATCTAACGTAGAAGAATAGGAGGTTGAAAGCGTGCGAATAACAATTCCTGCATATTTCTCTGCAATGAAAATTTATCATAGACTTATTACTTTACATAATCTCATAAAAATTACCTTGATCAATTTTGATTATTTTTTCCGCCAAAGCGACTACCCAAATCAAACCGAAAATGTGTCTGAGGTACGAATCGAACTTTCATTATTCCAACCTCAAGACGTAGTCTGACTAACGCCACTGCTTAAACCGGGTGTCCTGGTCTAAAATACTTTCAGAGCTTTAGTACATTGTAGTAATTTTTTTTTAATATAAACCTATATGACAGAGCATTCTATATAATATTTCAATGCCGTATACAAAAGGGTGTCCGAAAATCTGACTCCAAAATTTGATTTTTAGCTGAAAGTAAAAAAATAAAAAACGATCCAGGCACCGCAATAACAAAAAGTTTATAATAAAATCGTTTGATTTTTTCGTTTTGTTTCAAAATTTTCAACCCCAAATTTAGGACTATGAGTAGAGGTTGCGCGAGACTAACTCCCAATCCGTGCTCAATGACTTTGCGCTAATAGATCCGTATGCGTGTATTGCAAGGATGCTGTAGCAGGAAGAAAACACTATATTATTCAATTCAAGAGTCCTCCTGCACACTTAACACAAATATATTTCTGAAACGTTTCGTCTGGCTCTTTTCTTGTCATTGTTGTAAACTGATTGTCTGACTCAGACGAAACGTTACAGATATATATTTGTGTTAGTGTGCAGCAGATCTCTTGAATTGAATACCAAATTTAGAAATTTCAACTTATGGCTCAGAATTTCCACTCTGGTTTTCACCCTAATATCAGACAATTCCGGACCTAACTCCAACCCACAGTCTCAAATTGTACAAAAAATAAGTCGTGAATTATACAATGAAATACCAACGATGCTTCGTATGCCGAAATAACCTATATAAAAAATTTTTTTTTGGATAAATCGAACGAACTCAAAATCACACAAATATATCAATTTCAAACTATTTATGATTCATACATTATATAATATCTCAGTATACTGCGTCGACTAGTAAAGTAATATCGCATTCTCCTGATATGTACAGGTCACAAAACATTTCTATAAATTGAAAGATTTCGTTAACACGTATTGTGTTAGTGGAAATGATTTTGTATTGTTAGGGTGGGTGAGATGGGTAACATAAAATTAACAACAATAAGTCACATTCCTTTACGCCTTTTTTCGTCATTTATCAGCCATCAAAATTGAGGTTTGGTTGTAAAAATACAAGAAACGAATTATGGTTTTGTCGATTATCCTGTCAACCTCTAACAAACATTCCTATTCGTATGCATTTTTGCCCTTGCGAATTCTTTGACATTAAAATTTACGTTTAAATTAAATGAAAATAAACAATTTAATTAGATAAAACCAATTTATATACAGTACTTTAATAATGATCAACAATACGAAAACTTAAAGTATCAAAAACTCAGTTCTGATTTTTAAAATATTATATAATCTAATCCAAAAACAATTAAATCTATCTATTTTTATACAAATGAATGTTTTGGAATAAATTTACACATGGTTCATTGTTAAACACGCTCCACTTCATTGACTACTCTCCCTTCCCATTAGTTCTACTTACTAGCAGATGAACTTGATTGAGGTTTTAAACTTCGTCTTTCTTAAAATTAAGGTTGTTATATCAAAGAATATTCACGAAATTTTCTATAATTACTACAATTTATACACTATTTTGCAAATGGACAACGATTTGATTCAGATAATCAGCATGTGGAAGCGACAAGCTGGCTTAATATTATAAAAGACACTATACATACTGAACCATTAATTTTCAGCAAAATATATAACCTGATAATCTTACATATTTGAGAATTCAAGACCAAATCAATCAAGTTTTAATTTGGGAATCGAAAACGTCTAAAAGCGATGTTAATCAAGCCAATGCTGATTGTATTGTGCGAACGAAATAATGGTAATTGCTGCTATCTGCCAAGTTGGAAAATTTATTTACAAAACAATTTCATTTTCTTGACTGCCGCTCTGATTAGCCTTCCTTCTCTCCACTATTGTTCCTCTGGCTGCTACTTTTTCAGATTTCCCGAAGCACGCTATAATTCTAATTTTTAACACTGGTTTAACTCATAACTGGTATTTCTCCTATCCTTTATCCACATAGCACATTCACATAATGTGTGAACAAAATTAGATATAGCAAACGAACGAAGCATCTATATTTTTGAAGATCTTTCTAATATGACTTTCAGAGAGCACTCAACAACCAAAACCAAAATGGCGAGTATAAATTGTCAAGGAAAATTGTTTTGTTCTAATTCACCGTTAACATAATCTATAAAATATAACAAATCCCCCTAATGCTCTCAAAATCAAACTGCATCTTAGGAGTAAGTTTTGTAAACGTATACCCTTCTAGCTTTGTCTAAACTCTTTTTGAAACTCACATGAAATAATAGACTTGTATATCATCGAAAAAATACTATTTGTAACGATACTGTGTTTACAATCCATGAATGGCCGTTTGTTGCGACTATTATACAACCAATAACTAA